GGTAACGACTCTGTAACAATTCGGTAACAACTCGGTAACCACTCTGTAACGACTCGGTAACGACACAGTAACGACTCGGTAACAACACGGTAACGACTGGGTAACGACACGGTAACTACACGGTAACGACTTTGTAACGACTTTGTAACGACACGGTAACGACACGGTAACGACACCGTAGCGACACGGTAGCGACACGGTAACAACACTAACAAACAGGTAGCGACACAGTAACAACACGGTAACGACACGGTAACGACTTGGTAACAACACGGTAACTACACGGTAACAACTCTGTAACGACACGGTAACGACACGGTAACAACACGGTAACGACACGGTAACGACACGGTAGCGACTCGGTAACGACTCGGTAACGACACGGTAGCGACTCGGTAGCGACACGGTAGGGACTTGGTAACGACTTGGTAACGACTCGGTAACGACTCGGTAACGACACGGTAACGACTTGGTAACGACACTGTAACAACTCAGTAACGAGGTAACGACACGTAACGACTCGGTAACGACACGGTAACGACACGGTTATGACTCGGTAACTACACGGTAACGACTCTGTAACGACACGGTAACGACACGGTAACGACACGGTAGCGACTCGGTAACAACTCGGTAACGACACTGTAACAACTCGGTAACGACACGGTAACGACTCGGTAACGACACTAACAACTCAGTAACGAGGTAACGACACGGTAACGACACAGTAACGACTCGGTAACGACTCGGTAACGACTCGGTAACGACTCGGTAACAACACGGTTACAAAATTAACCAAATTCAAACTGTCTGTTAATACTCTGGCCTGGATTAAGTCTTGCCTATCTGGCCGGAGTCAATGTGTCCAAATCAGTAACACCACATCCAACATCAGTGCTACTGATACTGGGGTACCACAAGGCTCCAACATCGGCCCTCTGCTCTTCTCACTGTATATAAATGACATCTGTGTGTGAGGATGTCAAAATCCAGATGTATGCAGATGATACGGTCATCTATACATGGGGAAGGGACGCTCAAACAGTAGCCAATAAACTGACTGTAGCAATGGAGAAGGTTGCAACATGGCTACATGAATCCTGTCTCACATTAAACATCAGTAAAACAGCAACAATGTACTTTGTAAATAAAAACCAAACAACCGTGTTTCCAAACATAACCGTAAAAGGGGAGGTGGTAAAAAATGTTAATGAATATCTGGGTGTAATTTTAGATCCCACCCTCAGCATCATAAAAAACATATCAAACAGATGAGCCTTAGCCTCAAATACACCATAAAAACTTTCAAATGTATCAGGAACTCACCAACACTGGAGGGAGCCCAAACTTATTTTAATGCAATGATCATGTCTCGTTTTTATTATTGTATAACCTGTTGGTCCCAGGCAAATAAAACCACTCTGAGGTCATTGGAAACTCTGCACAAACAGTCACTTAAGATCCTCGACCGGAAACCACGACATCACCATCACTGTTTAGTTCTACAAAAATACAGACTTTTAAATTTTGACAATATTCAAAGATATGCATCCATACGATTGGCTCACAGAATACTAAACAACACCGCACCAGCTCCACCAGGGGGCAGTGCAGCATACCCAGGTGTAAAACTGCTTTTGCCCAGACAGCATTTTCATATAAAGCAATAAAGGAATGGAACGAGCTCACTACAGACCTGAAGAGTCAGACTATCCTACATTTACAGTAGAACTTAAAAAATGGTTATGGAGCAATCAAAGCTGCTCACACGAACCCTGAGGTGTGGGACCAGGACGACTGATGTGTGTGAACTATGTATGATTAGAAACTGATGTATGTGAACTATGTATGATTAGAAACTGATGTGTGATCTATGTATGATGAGAAACTGATGTGTGTGATCTATGTATGATGAGAAACTGATGTGTGTGAACTATGTATGATGAGAAACTGATGTGTGTGATCTATGTATGATGAGAAACTGATGTGTGTGTATGATTAGAAACTGATGTGTGATCTATGTATGATGAGAAACTGATGTGTGTGATCTATGTATGATGAGAAACTGATGTGTGTGATCTATGTATGATGAGAAACTGATGTGTGTGATCTATGTATGATGAGAAACTGATGTGTGTGATCTATGTATGATGAGAAACTGATGTGTGTGTATGATTAGAAACTGATGTGTGATCTATGTATGATGAAAAACTGATGTGTGTGATCTATGTATGATGAGAAACTGATGTGTGTGATCTATGTATGATGAGAAACTGATGTGTGTGATCTATGTATGATGAGAAACTGATGTGTGTGATCTATGTATGATGAGAAACTGATGTGTGTGATCTATGTATGATGAGAAACTGATGTGTGTGATCTATGTATGATGAGAAACTGATGTGTGTGATCTATGTATGATGAGAAACTGATGTGTGTGATCTATGTATGATGAAAAACTGATGTGTGTGATCTATGTATGATGAGAAACTGATGTGTGTGATCTATGTATGATGAGAAACTGATGTGTGTGATCTATGTATGATGAGAAACTGATGTGTGTGATCTATGTATGATGAGAAACTGATGTGTGTGATCTATGTATGATGAGAAACTGATGTGTGTGATCTATGTATGATGAGAAACTGATGTGTGTGATCTATGTATGATGAGTAACTGATGTGTGTGATCTATGTATAATGAGAAACTGATGTGTGTGATCTATGTATGATGAGAAACTGATGTGTGTGATCTATGTATGATGAGAAACTGATGTGTGTGAACTATGTATGATGAGAAACTGATGTGTGTGAACTATGTATGATGAGAAACTGATGTGTGTGATCTATGTATGATGAGAAACTGATGTGTGTGAACTATGTATGATTAGAAACTGATGTGTGATCTATGTATGATGAGAAACTGATGTGTGTGATCTATGTATGATGAGAAACTGATGTGTGTGATCTATGTATGATGAGAAACTGATGTGTGTGATCTATGTATAATGAGAAACTGATGTGTGTGATCTATGTATGATGAGAAATGTACTGAATGTGTGAATGTTTCATCTGAATGTGTGGTTGTGACATGTGTATTGTGTAGGTGTGATGCTGTGGATGAAGTGTGGTTTTAACAAACAGGTACGAGGCTAAATGTGTGTGTCTGTATTAGAGAGAATGTGTTGTAGTGCAATGTTATTTTTTTAGGATTGTACATTACTGTATCCATGTATTTTATTGATGTAACAGGGACTGCAGATGGAAACAGCTGTTTATCTTTAATCTGGTGCAGAACATATCTGTCTTTGAGCTTAATGTCTCTGAACACTGTCCCTTCAAATAAAGACTAAACTAAACTAAACTAAACGACGCGGTAACGACACGGTAACAACTCGGTAACAACACGGTAACGACTCGGTAACAACACAGTAATGACACGGTAACGACACGGTAACGACTCGGTAACGACACGGTAACGACTCGGTAATGACACTGTAACGACACGGTAATGACACGGTAACGACACTGTAACGACTCGGTAACAACACAGTAACAACACGGTAACGACTCGGTAACAATACGGTAACAACTCGGTAACGACACGGTAACGACTCGGTAATGACACGGTAACGACACTGTAACGACTCGGTAACAACACAGTAACAACACGGTAACGACTCGGTAACAATACGGTAACAACTCGGTAACGACACGGTAACGACTCGGTAACGACACGGTAACGACACAGTAACGATGCGGTAACGACTCTAACTACACCGTAAAGACACAGTAACTACGTAGTAACGATGCAGTGACAACACAGTGACAACACAGTGACAACACGGTAACAACATGGTACCCACACAGTAACGACACAATAACGACATGGTGACAACACGGTAACTACTTAGTTACAACACAGTAACGACACGGTAACGACACAGTAACAACACGGTAACGACACAGTAACGACTTGGTAACGATGTGTGTGTGTGTGTGTATTTGTATGTGTAACAGTCACTTTACCTGTTGATATCGTACTGTTTTATTCATATCCATCTGATAATTCTCCCATTCAAGTCACTTTACCTGTTGATATTATTTCTGATGTTTATTCTGCTCATATTCTCCGCTGCTAATGTATAATATAGACATCTGTAAATACTCCGAACCAAGTGCAATTATAGCCCAGAGTTTATCTTATTTTATCTTAAATTTATTGTCTATTATCTTAAATAATAGACTTTGATGTGTGCAATCTGAGTGCTCTTATGTCCTCTCTCTGCTGTAATGTGCGCAACGATGACACTGACATTTCTCCACTGTGAGACTAATAAAGGTTTATCTCATCTTACAATTACAATACAATACAATGTATTCTTGTATAGCCCTAGGTCACAACAGAAGTCATCTCAGAGGACTTAACAAAACCATTGAAATCACCAACACAGGTCAGAGAATCAACAGTTAAAACACATGAAAAATATAAAGCACACACAGAAGAAAATTTCCATACATGTTGTAGAATGCTAAAGTGTCCTGATCATCACCAATCCTTTCTGTTGGACACTAACTGTCCAACAAGACCCTCCTGCATCGACAAGGAAAAACTCTTAAAAAACCATGGGAAAAAGTGAGAAACCTTGGGGAGAACTAGGGAAACCCACAGGGAGGGAGACCCATATGAGAAAGGGATCCGCTCCTCCGGACGGTCAGGCTAATGTTCCAGGACCTAAGCTAGCTACAGAACGTGGACCAGTGGCCGCTGAACGTGGACAGGTCCGGTGCAGGACTGAAGCACTCCCAGGCGGGTCGGGCGGGGCAGTCCGCAGGTGTAGATGGAGGAGGCCAGGTTCAGAGATCCCGTCATTGTACCATGAAACAGACAATGGGACAACGGATTATAAGATAATCATCTTATCTTATATATGTGTGTGTATATGTGTGTGTGTGTGTGTGTGTGTGTGTGTGTATATGTGTGTGTCAGTGATCTACGTGATGGGCTTCTACTTGTGGAAGGAGGTCCAGTGGTGCGCTCTGACTCTGGTTCTGTTCCTTCCTGGATCCGCGCTGCACCTGCTGAGCCTCAAGTGGTTCAATGACGACGGTGACTCCCCCCTCCTCACCCTCACCCTCACCCACGTCCTGCACCTGGGCATCCTCAAGAGGTCAGTCTCCCCCTTCTCACCCTCACCCACGTCCTGCACCTGGGCATCCTCAAGTGGTCAATCTCCCCCTCCTCACCCACGTCCTGCACCTGGGCATCCTCAAGTGGTCAATCTCCCCCTCCTCACCCACGTCCTGCACCTGGGCATCCTCAAGAGGTCAGTCTCCCCCTCCTCACCCTCAGGAGGTCAGTCTCCCCCCCTCACCCTCAGGAGGTCAGTCTCCCCCTCCTCACCCTCAGGAGGTCAGTCTCCCCCTCCTCACCTTCAGTATGTCCAGGTGAAAACATTTTTTTTTTATTCAAGCTGAATTTGGATTACTCTAAACCTGACCAGCCCTGGGTCATGTAGACCTTTTAAGACCCTATTATTAATCATGTGTGGCAGGTTTGTGTGTGTGTGTGTGTGTGTGTGTGTGTGTGTGTGTGTGTGTGTGTGTTCTTGTAATCATCACGTTGTGGGGACTGAAATCTGTTAACACAGTCACGCCATGGGGACCCATTTCCTTAGGAGGACCAAAAACCAGGTCCCCATAAGGAAAACCATTTAGATGAATGGGGGAGCTGTTTAGAAGGTGCTGGGCAAAGTTTTAGAGAAGGCTCGTAAGTGATGTTTAATGTGTGTGTTGTGGTTGCTCATTGGCACCTCTGGTGGTAATGACTGGTAAGACACATTGGTTTCCACACACACTTTGCATATATAATTAAGTACCGCCCACATCCTGGTCCCCAAGAGTGATGATCTTGGAATCAACTGTTTTCAGCTGCTTTCAAATGCAACAGACAGGTAAGCATAATTTGCAATCATTTTAGAACAAATATTGTATATATGCATGTTATTTAATAGCAACCAAGTTATTGCTAATTCACTTTTGTGGCCTGAATTGCTGTGGTTTTAATGTACAGACTAATGCAACTGGTTCGAGCTAGCATTGGCAACTTGTTGGAGCTAGCATTAGCAACTAGCTTGGACAGCAGATTCTACCAAACAGCACATGGGTCAATGTTCCCTTCTAAAAGGACATTCAGATGGCGAACAGTTGTCTTCGCAGTAAACGAGTGGTGACTAAATTACATAAGTAGAGCTTCTTATGTACTAGAAGTAGCTAGCTAGGAAGTTAGCACCGATTTTTGCTAACAACTAGTGTCAGAGTAAACAGGCTAAAGAATCTGAGTACTCTTTGCTGGTAGCTATACTAAAGACTGTATCTGTTCAATGCTCATGCAAAACGAATAAACTGTGTAATAAGTACAGATTCAGTGATTTACTTTGCATGGTTTCCCTTTTTAAGCAAGATTAGATGTGATTTTAATATACAACCTGTTAGCATTAGCAACTAGCTCGTATAGTAATCAACTTGTGTGTGGTACTTTCAAGAAGCAACTAAAGGTTTCTCAGTACATATACAGGTTCTGAATGATACAACTAAAGCTTTCTATGTAATAGCAGTAACCTATAGTGGCTTTACTTATTAAGAAGTAGTTTGCAGTTTAGTTTTATTTTAAGAATTAAGTGGGTCAAATAGCAGAAATATTTAATTTCTTCAAGTAGAAAGGAAAAAGAAAAGTTACTGAAGTACTGGATGAATATATTAATTGAGTACCTGACTAAATGTTGAAAGTAAAGGTTTGATTTGTAATTATGTATTAAAAATATATTAGATATAGAAGATATTTGGAAGTAATATAGTAGAAACAGCTGTACCAAACCTACAGATAAAATAAATTACAAATGTAATAGAATTGTTTCAAAAAATGACTCAAGTGAAATCATAATTATGCATTCTGTTGTTTCAGTTTTTGATGATTTAAATGGCACCACGAATTAGCCCAGAAAAACCTCTGTCTGTGGGGTTTGAAAATTTAGCTGAAAAAGCTGTCTCTGTATTATATAATTTGAATTGATAAATATAGGTAAGCTTTGAGTATGTAAGCTTGGTGATTGTAGCACTATACTGTATAATGTATGTACTATATGTGTTTAAAAGTTTTTATATATCAATATATATATTTCTTTTTTTTCAGCATTGATGCTTCAGTACAAGATGGCACATTTGGGCGTATTGTTAATGATGACCACATCCACCCAAATTGTAAGATGAAAAGAAGCATTACGAGACAAAAAAGAAGGAGAAGAAATTACTTATGATTATGGTGGAGATGACTGCCCATGGAGAGAAAGAGTATGTCACAAACACACGCTTAAAATAATTGCTTATTTCTAACCTAATACAAAGAATGCCCTTTCAGTTACTGCTATTGACTTGAACTATGTTTGAAAGTTTGTTTCATTGGTCCCCATAAAGAATGAATGGAAGTGTGTGAAATGGCCTCCTATGGTGGTGATTTTACATTGTATGATTGTTTTAGTTATGACTTGGAGCTTGGAGTTTTCTGCTATAGACAAGGCTTTAGGTAGACTTCAGGAAGTCTAGTTTAGACCTTTATAAACCCTGATTCTCCACTGTGAGATCAATTAAGTTTCTCTTATCTTGTTTCATGGTGATCCAGACCTGGTGGTACATTTCAGTATTTTATAACATGGGGCTTGGTTGGAAAAATTGGAGCACTGTTTTAGACTTATAGATTATTATAGTGTTCTATTGTAAAGTCTTATACCTTCTGTCTCCCACAGATGACCCACGTGTCAGCAGATGGCTTTACAACAGGCTTTCTTGATCATTCTGACCATTCTTTGTCAGTTCTGAGCAAGCTTTTTAACATTTGAAGTCAATTATATAAGATTTGTTATGTTTAACTCATTTAACTATATTCAGTAAGTAGATAAGTGGAAGTAGAATATTTTTAGCCTTTTTCAAATGAACCATCACAATGTCCCCATAATAAATTGAGTGACTTCTGTTGAGTTTAATCATGTGTGAAAGTCTGTTGAAATGGTCCCCGTAAAGAAGGAATAGAAGTGTTTGAAATGGTCCTAAAAAGGTCCCCATAACGCACTAGGAGTGACTGATGATGAGTGGAATTGTTTGTGAAAGTTCATTGAATTGGTCCCCATGAAGGAATTGAGAGGGGTGTGAAAAGGTCCTCATGAGACGTGTTCCAGACTCTAGATGTGTGTGTGTACAAACAAGTTGGGTTTACATCTGTCAAACTATGATTTGTGTACTGCTGGTAATACTTGGGCCCCCTTGGGTGGTTCTTTAAATTTAAATTTGTGATCTCTGTTCTAGACCATGATTATTTTAGTGTTTTATTATAAATCCTTATACCTTCTGTCTCCCACGGATGACCCATGTGACAGCAGATGGCTCAACTACAGGTTTTCTTGATCATTCTGACCAGCCTCAGTGCCACATGAATATGTCATTTGGAAACGATGCCTATCAGATTAAGGTAAGATCATATTTATCAATCATGACAAAATACCAGAGGTTCTTTGTCAGTTCTGAAATGTTTTTATAACATCTGAAGTCAATTATCTTAGATTTGTTATGTGTCACTCGTTAAACTATATTCAGTAAGTGGAATTGTCGAAGGAAAGTATTTTTTACCTTTTTTTGGTCATGGCAGACGAGAACTTTTTACTCAAATGTTTCTTTAAATTGAACTCTCCCGATGTCCCCATAATACACTTTGAGTGACTTCTATTAAACATGTGTGAAAGTCCATTGAATTGGTCCCCGTAAAGGAGGAATGGAAGTGTGTGAAATGACCATCAAAATGTCCCCATAACACACTTTGAGTGACTGCTGATGAGTTGAACCGTGTGTGAAAGTCCATTGAATTGGTCCCCATGAAGGAATGGGGCGGGGGTGTGAAAAGGTCCTCATGAGGCATGTCCCCGACCATAGATGTGTGTATGTGCAAATAAGTTTGTTTTACATCTGTCAATCTATGATTTGTGCACTGCTGGTAGTACTTTGGCCTTCTTGGGTGGTTATATTAAATTAAATTTGTGATCTCTGTTTGAGATGGTGATTATTATAGTGTGTTATTGTAAATCCTCATACCTTCTGTTTCCCACAGATGACCCACGTGACAGCAGATTGCACTACTCCAGGTTCTGTTGATCATTCTGACCAGCCTCAGTGCCACATGAATACGTCATTTGCAAACGATGCCCCTCAGAAACAGGTAGGATAATTTTTATCAATCATGACAAAATACCAGAGGTTCTTTGTCAGTTCTGAAAAGGTTTTATAACATTTGAAGTCAATTATCTTAGATTTGTTTTGTGTCACTCATTAAACTATATTCAGTAAGTGGAATAGTGGAAGGAGAATACTTTAAGCCTTTTTTGGTCTTTGCAGACAAGGACTTTTTACTTAAATGTTTCTTTCAAATTAACCCTCACGATGTCCCCATAAAACACTTTGAGTGACTTCTATTAAACATGTGTGAAAGACCATTGAATTGGTCCCCGTAAAGGAGGAATGGAAGTGTGTGAAATGGTCATCAAAATGTCCCCATAACACACTTTGAGTGACTGCTGATGAGTTGAACCGTGTGTGAAAGTCCATTGAATTGGTCCCCATGAAGGAATGGGGCGGGGGTGTGAAAAGGTCCTCATGAGACATGTCCCCGACCCTAGATGTGTGTATGTGTAAATACGTTTGTTTTACATCTGTCAAACTATGATTTGTGTACTTCTGGTAGTACTTTGGCCTTCTTGGGTGGTTCTATTAAATTAAATTTGTGATCTCTGTTTAAGACGGTGATTATTCAAGTGTTTTATAGTAAATCCTCATACCTTCTGATTCACACAGATGACCCACGTGACAGCAGATTGCACTACTCCAGGTTCTGTTGATCATTCTGACCAGCCTCAGTGCCACATGAATACGTCATTTGCAAACGATGCCCCTCAGAAACAGGTAGGATAATTTTTATCAATCATGACAAAATTCCAGAGGTTCTTTGTCAGTTCTGAGAAAGCTTTTCAACATTTGAAGTCATTTGTATAAGATTTGTCATGTGTAACTCATTAAACTATATTCAGTAAGTGGAATAGTGGAAGGAGAATACTTTAAGCCTTTTTTTGTCATTGCAGACAAGGACTTTTTACATAAATGTTTCTTTCAAATGAACCCTCACGATGTCCCCATAAAACACTTTGAGTGACTTCTATTAAACATGTGTGAAAGTCCATTGAATTGGTCCCCGTAAAGGAGGAATGGAAGTGTGTGAAATGGTCATCAAAATGTCCCCATAACACACTTTGAGTGACTGCTGATGAGTTGAACCGTGTGTGAAAGTCCATTGAATTGGTCCCCATGAAGGAATGGGGCGGGGGTGTGAAAAGGTCCTCATGAGACATGTCCCCGACCCTAGATGTGTGTATGTGTAAATACGTTTGTTTTACATCTGTCAAACTATGATTTGTGTACTTCTGGTAGTAATTTGGCCTTCCTGGGTGGTTCTATTAAATTAAATTTGTGATCTCTGTTTAAGACGGTGATTATTCAAGTGTTTTATAGTAAATCCTCATACCTTCTGATTCACACAGATGACCCACGTTACAGCAGATTGCACTACTCCAGGTTCTGTTGATCATTCTGACCAGCCTCAGTGCCACATGAATACGTCATTTGCAAATGATGCCCCTCAGAAACAGGTAGGATAATTTGTATCAATCATGACAAAATTCCAGAGGTTCTTTGTCAGTTCTGAGAAAGCTTTTCAACATTTGAAGTCATTTGTATAAGATTTGTCATGTGTAACTCATTAAACTATATTCAGTAAGTGGAATAGTGGAAGGAGAATACTTTAAGCCTTTTTTTGTCATTGCAGACAAGGACTTTTTACTTAAATGTTTCTTTCAAATGAACCCTCACGATGTCCCCATAAAACACTTTGAGTGACTTCTATTAAACATGTGTGAAAGTCCATTGAATTGGTCCCCGTAAAGGAGGAATGGAAGTGTGTGAAATGGCCATCAAAATGTCCCCATAACACACTTTGAGTGACTGCTGATGAGTTGAACCGTGTGTGAAAGTCCATTGAATTGGTCCCCATGAAGGAATGGGGCGGGGGTGTGAAAAGGTCCTCATGAGGCATGTCCCCGACCCTAGATGTGTGTATGTGCAAATAAGTTTGTTTTACATCTGTCAAACTATGATTTGTGTACTTCTGGTAGTACTTTGGCCTTCTTGGGTGGTTCTATTAAATTAAATTTGTGATCTCTGTTTAAGACGGTGATTATTCAAGTGTTTTATAGTAAATCCTCATACCTTCTGATTCACACAGATGACCCACGTGACAGCAGATTGCACTACTCCAGGTTCTGTTGATCATTCTGACCAGCCTCAGTGCCACATGAATACGTCATTTGCAAACGATGCCCCTCAGAAACAGGTAGGATAATTTTTATCAATCATGACAAAATTCCAGAGGTTCTTTGTCAGTTCTGAGAAAGCTTTTTAACATTTGAAGTCATTTGTATAAGATTTGTCACGTGTAACTCATTAAACTATATTCAGTAAGTGGAATAGTGGAAGGAGAATACTTTAAGCCTTTTTTGGTCATTGCAGACAAGGACTTTTTACCTAAATGTTTCTTTCAAATGAACCCTCACGATGTCCCCATAAAACACTTTGAGTGACTTCTATTAAACATGTGTGAAAGTCCATTGAATTGGTCCCCGTAAAGGAGGAATGGAAGTGTGTGAAATGGCCATCAAAATGTCCCCATAACACACTTTGAGTGACTGCTGATGAGTTGAACCGTGTGTGAAAGTCCATTGAATTGGTCCCCATGAAGGAATGGGGTGGGGGTGTGAAAAGGTCCTCATGAGACATGTCCCCGACCCTAGATGTGTGTATGTGCAAATAAGTTTGTTTTACATCTGTCAAAATATGATTTGTGGACTTCTGGTAGTACTTTGGCCTTCTTGGGTGGTTCTATTAAATTAAAATTGTGATCTCTGTTTAAGACGGTGATTATTCAAGTGTTTTATAGTAAATCCTCATACCTTCTGATTCACACAGATGACCCACGTGACAGCAGATTGCACTACTCCAGGTTCTGTTGATCATTCTGACCAGCCTCAGTGCCACATGAATACGTCATTTGCAAACGATGCCCCTCAGAAACAGGTAGGATAATTTGTATCAATCATGACAAGATTCCAGAGGTTCTTTGTCAATTCTGAGAAAGCTTTTTTAACATTTGAAGTCATTTGTATAAGATTTTTCATGTGTAACTCATTAAACTATATTCAGTAAGTGGAATAGAAGGAGAATACTTTAAGCCTTTTTTGGTCATTGCAGACAAGGACTTTTTACTTAAATGTTTCTTTCAAATGAACCCTCACGATGTCCCCATAAAACACTTCTGTTGAGTTTAATCATGTGTGAAAGTCCATTGAAACGGTCCCCGTAAAGAAGGAATGGAAGTGTGTGAAATAGCCCTCACAATGTCCCCATAGCACACCTGGAGTGACTGCTGATGAGTTGATCAGTGTGTGAAAGTCCATTGAATTGGTCCCCATGAAGGAATTGAGAGGGGTGTGAAAAGGTCCTCATGAGACGTGTCCCCGACCCTAGATGTGTGTATGTACAAACAAGTTGGTTTTACATCAGTCAAACTATGATTTGTGTACTGCTGGTAGTATTTGGGACTGCTTGAGTGGTCTTTTGATTTTAATTTGTAATCACTGTTTTAGACGGTGATTATTTTAGTGTTCAATTGTAAATCCTCATACCTTCTGTCTCCCACAGATGACACTTATACCACAGATTTTTTGATCATTCTGACCAGCCTCAGTCCCACATGAATACGTCAGTTGGAAACGATGCCAATCAGAAACAAGTAGGATCCTATTCATCAATCATGACAAAATACCAGAGATTCCTTGTCAGTCCTGAGAAAGCTTTTTTAACCTTTGAAGACAATTATACAATATTTTTTATGTGTAAGTCATTTAACTATATTCAGTAAATGGATAGTGGAAGAGTGGATGAGTGAGTTCTGTTGAGTTTAATTATGTGTGTGAGTCCGTTGAATTGGTCCCCATAAATAAGGAATGGAGTGGGGTGTGAAAAGGTCCTCAAGAGAAGTGTTGTCGTTTTTTGTCTTGTTTGTTTATATTAGTTTTTTTTTATTTACAGATTCTTGCACAGCACACATGGGAAGTCGATTATGTACCAAAACTGATAAGGACAAAAAGTGTCATAGTAAGTCAGTACAAAATGTACCTATAAAACTTGTTATCATCCAGTGAAGTTAAATGTGTCATTCATTTATTTTGTAAGTATTTTTTTTCAATGAATTGCATTCTGACTGTTTTTTTTTTTTACTTTTTTGGAATTCTTAGTTGTTAAAATGTTTTTTCTTGTTTTATTCAGATGAAAGACACAAATCATCTTGACTGTGAGTTTTATGATTCTACAATGGATAGTTCAGACAACTATGTCCCAGATACCTCGTCTGATTCAGAAAGTGATAGTGATCCAAACTTCGTCATGAAACAAAATTACAACTCATTCTTGATGATTCTATCCCTGCAAACAATCTTGAATGGGACTTCACAACTTCATTCAAGATGCTAAGATGTGTTTCAGCTGAAACATCTTCTGCAGTTGAACTCAGTTCAAGTCAGGCCACTACAAATATGGCTGTTAAGGCATACAACAAAAATGGTGTACAAAGAATATATGACGAAAGACATTTTTTTGCTCTGCATTTGAAGCAAAATGTGCTTTCATCAAGAAATAAGCTGTTCACAATCCTAGCAATAAAAAATATAAAATTGGTTAATAAAGGCACATTTACAAAGACAGTCTGTGCATTCTTTGGCCTTAACATTGTACTTATTAGATTTACAAAGGGTCCCCATGAGTAAATTATAAAAGTGTGTGAATTATGCAAAAAATATGCAAATCTGGTCCTTCTAAGTGACATTGACTCGTTTTTTTATAGGTCCCCACAGTACACTGCCAGAATATCATTTCATCAATTGACACATTTTAAGATGTGTATATGCTTACAATGTTTTGTTAAGTAACTCAATTTTTTTTTATGACTCTAGAACCTCTAGAAAGGGTGGTCCCCACATGTGATGATTTGAAACCTGGTCCCCATCAAGAATGGAAACCAGTATGTGTGTGTGTGTGTGTGTGTGTGTGTGTGTGTGTGTTGCATGTGTGTGTGTGTGTGTCTGTTGCATGTGTGTGTGTGTGTGTGTGTGTGTGTGTGTGTGTGTCTGTTGCATGTGTGTCCGTGTGCGTGTGTTGGCAGGCTCTGCTCACAGCTGATGTTGTGTTTGTCTCCCTCTGGTGGCAGGCTCTGGGACTGCGTGCGCTCCGTCCTCCTCATGCAGGAGTCGGGAGCAGAGCTGGGCGCAGCAGTGATGCAGCAGGCGGACGTGGCTGCGCTGTGGCTCCTGGAGGCCCTGGTCCTCACCCTCCCACAGAGCCTCCTGCAGGCTTATGTCCTGGTCTCTACTGATGTGGGTCTCATGTCTCCTGGTGAGACCAGAGAGAGACCGGAGAGGGGAAAACACTCACAATTAGGGTGGAGTAGATCCAAGCAGCTCTGTTAGAAACGGTTCTATAGATCTCTGAACCTAAGCAGGACAGGGCCTGGTTAGTACTGTGATGGGAGACCTCTGCGAACACCATTTTGCCACAGTGGGGCGGCTGCGGCTGTAAAGTGCCAAACAGCTGTTGTGTCCTGCATTAGCCTGTGTACTGTATGCTTACCCTGGTGTCCTCCTTCACAGTGGCTCTGTTCTGCGGCCTGTGCCTGCTGTCCCTGTCCTGGGCCCTGGTTCTCTTCAGCAGGGCGTGTTGTCTGATCCGACCCGGGCACCTGGCCATGCCGCCCGCCGCCCTGCTCTGCCAGCTGCTCTGGAGGTTCGGGATGATCGCAGCCAGAGTCACATGCCTCATGTTCTTTGCACGGGTCTTCAGGTGGTGGGTCTGCGGCGTGGCAGGTCAGGACGCAATTATACACACTGTATACAGATGGACAATGCTAACACAGACTGTATACAGATGGACAATGCTAACACAGACTGTATACAGATGGACAATGCTAACACAGACTGTATACAGATGCTAAACAATGCTAAACCGCTGGTTCAATTTAGCCCAATAGAGAAGTGCTTTAGGTCAGTTTTTCACACTCACCATGATTTGTGTGTGTGTGTGTGTATGTGTTTGAGTGTCTGTCTGTGTGTGCATGTGCCTCTGTGTGTGTGTGTGTCTCTCTCTGTGTGTGTGTGTGTCTCTCAGTGTGTCTGTGGGTGTGTCTCTCTCTCTCTGTGTGTGTGTGTCTCTGTGTCTGCGTGTGTGTTTGTGTGTGTCTGTTTGTGGGTGTATTGCAGGCTTCCACTGGCTGACCGCCTCCTTCTGGCTGGTGTCGCAGCAGTCTGACATCTGCACGGGCCCCTGGTGCTGGAGGGCCTTCAACGCGGTGCTGGGGCTGGTGCACGTCTTCCTCTTCCTCAACGTGAAGGACGGCCCCTCGCGCTTCCGCATGGCGAGCTTCTACGCCGTAAGGACGTTTAGCTGATTTTTAGCATTCAATCTGGCAACCTCTCTGAAACCATCATATTTGTTCTTGTGGCTCAAAGATTCAAAGTGAAATCTGCAACTTTTACTTTTATATTCAAACTGATGGTCTTGATGGTCCTGATAGTCTTAATGGTATTGATGGTCTTGATGGTCTTGACGGTCCCGGATAGTCTTCATGGTCCTGATAGTCTTGATGGTCCTGATAGTCCTGATGGTCTTGATGGTCCTTGCACACCTTGTGTTGTAGTTCATGTTGGTGGAGAACATCACTCTGGTCCTCGCGGCCTTTGACCTCTTCAGTGAAGTGTCCTGGGACAACATGACCCTCCCCACGGCCGTGCTCAGCAGCTTCCTGATCGGTACGTCTGGTCTTACCATGTGTAAACTCTGGTCCATGATCATTTCCTACGTGTACGTCTGGTTTTACCATGTGTAAACTCTGGTCCATGATCATTTCCTACATGTACGTCTGGTCTTACCATGTGTAAACTCTGGTCCATGATCATTTCCTACGTGTACGTCTGGTTTTACCATGTGTAACCTCTGGTCCATGATCATTTCCTACATGTACGTCTGGTCTTACCATGTGTAACCTCTGGTCCATGATCATTTCCTACATGTACGTCTGGTCTTACCATGTGTAACCTCTGGTCCATGATCATTTCCTACATGTACGTCTGGTCTTACCATGTGTAACCTCTGGTCCATGATCATTTCCTACATGTACGTCTGGTCTTACCATGTGTAACCTCTGGTCCATGATCATTTCCTACATGTACGTCTGGTCTTACCATGTGTAACCTCTGGTCCATGATCATTTCCTACATGTACGTCTGGTCTTACCATGTGTAAACTCTGGTCCATGATCATTTCCTACATGTACGTCTGGTCTTGCTCAGTTGGTAGAGCATTGGCCTTTGGGCCTGAAGGTCGTGGGTTCGAGCCCACCGTAAGACCTACTTCACGACTCCCACTGATGACTGCTGTCGTTGTGTCCTTGGGCAAGACACTTAGCCCCACTTTGCCTGAAGCTCCCACTGAAAGATCTCAGCTCCTGTGAACTCACCACCTGCAGGAGGATCAGTGAGGGGCTGGTGCTCTGACTGCCACCCCGACCCAGAAATGGATTAAGGGGAAGAAAATGGATGGATGGATGGACGTCTGGTCTTACCATGTGTAAACTCTGGTCCATGATCATTTCCTACATGTACGTCTGGTCTTACCATGTGTAAACTCTGGTCCATGATCATCTCCTACATGTACGTCTGGTCTTACCATGTGTAACACTTTGGACCACAACAACAGACTGCATCTGACACTTATATTTGTAGCAAGAAAAGGGTGTTTTCACTCTCGTCACGTCTGACTCAGGTAAAAGGTAGAGGCGCCCTCTAATGGACACTCACGGAACAACAGGTAAACAAACAGTAGTAATAGGCCCTTTTCACGCTGACGTCACGAATCCGCCATTGTACTTCCGTGCAGTGGATAACGACTTCCTGTCCGCGTTATACCTAATGGCATGGGATTGCGCTTTTCAGTCTGAAGTAAAATATCTCCAGGAAATTTACCGCAGACGTCAAGTGGAAGGTATGTAATCATTGACAACAAGTAAGACATTGCGTGGGGAGTAAAAAAATAAAAAAAAGCACCGAAGAATAACGGTGTGATGATAGAGAAGTGAGTTTGTCCAAAAGCTTGTAGCCAGTTGTAATGCTAACGACTGCTGATTTGGGAAGATTGATTCTAATGTGTTTGCTTACGTTATTAATTGATCTGTGTAACTATTGTTTGGTTTCCTAGTTATAGATCTGTAGTTAGTGCTGCAATCTGTTAGCTTCCAAAGAATAGGCTATCTTAGCTCCAAATGCTAATGCAAATTAGCAACATGCTACTGAACCGTGAGAAACGCTTGACTATCCGAGGCTTTGGTGGGCAACACAAATGTATTAAATTGATAATATTAGTTCTATGGTGGGTCAAAACAATGTTCACAAACAGAGCATTGCTCCCCTTGTGCTGTAAAAGATCTGTGATTTAAATAAACAGCTCTTCACTGCTGGAAAAATCTGCTGTTTTGCCCACCTTTCACCAAAACATCACAAAAATAAACAATGATCCTCCCAATAACAGCGCTATACATTTTCTTGTTACGTATACATTGTATGTTTTACTGTTCAGTACATTACATAGGCTTGAAATTAACACCTTAAAGAGTAAAAACTGTACACCTATATCCCTCCTAAAAGTTGATTAAAATTCAAGTCAAATGTTCTAATTTCAATTTTCTCTGTGCTTTTTTATTTTTATTGTTACAGGATGGCCCAGTCATTAAGACGATGTCACTGCTGTGTTCCTGGTTGCTCAAACAACAAACAGTCTCATCCATACATGAGTTACCATGATTTCCCGAAGGATACTTCAAGACGTGCCCTGTGGATCAGGGCAATTCGCAGGGATGAGGGTCCTACTTTTAAAGTGCAACGTGGAAGCACATATGTGTGCAGCTTTCATTTTAGACCTGAAGAGCTCTACAAAACAAAAAGTGGCCTGACTGTCCTCCAAAAAGATGTGGTTCCCTCCAGATTCCAATGGAATAACTGGGGTAAGAAGGGATATTGGATTTTCCTACTAATGGAAGAGATTACATTGAGTCAACACTGCCTTTTTACCTGCCTTTTTTACCACCACCAAATCTTTAGATTTTTTACTTTGTCCTTTTATTGCCATATTATGAAAAAGCTGGTTAAAAATTTGAAACATCTTGACAAGTAAAATAAGCAGTGTTGTAGAATGTCGATCTGTATGATAATTCTGAATATATTGTCCATATTGGAACATACTATTCATTAGACAGAAAATTACTCAAATAGATGAATGATGGGTTACTTGTTCAAACCAATATAGGAAATGCCTACCAAAGACCAACGAAACGTCTCTGTCGTGAAGTACCTAATGAGTGTGTGGAAGCACTCGGAACAGAGGACATCGCACAAGGGCAAGAAACTAAAGCTGCAGGGGACCATGATTACGTTGTGTGTCCTTCTCCTTGTGAGTATATTTAAATTGATAGTCTAAATGCAAACCAAGTAGAATTGTAGAGCTGTGTAATTTCTTATGTGTCATCTTAGGTAAACTAGACGGAGCTGCAAGGAAAATAAAGGACTTGGAGCTTCAGGTGATAATGCTTGAACATCAAATACAGGAACTGACCATCAAAAAACAGCAGCCTCTCATTTATAAATGTTGTGTGACTGATGAGGACTATCGGTTTTTCTGTCGATTTCCTTCCAAAGAGGTTTTTGATATATTTTGGGAATCAGTTTACCCTTCTGCTTCAAGGCTTGTATACTGGACAAAAGCTCAGCAATCTGCAATTGAAACCCCAAGCTCACAGCGAAAGCTTCCACTTATTGACAAGCTGTTTCTGTTTCTCTGTCGGGTTGCTGCTGGCCTTAAAGAGAAGATGCTGTCTAGCATTTTTGATGTCAGTCTATCAACAGTGAGTCGCATAATAATAACGTGGACCAACTATCTCTTTCAAGTACTGGGTTCTCTGCCAACATGGATGACAAAAGAGCAAGTGCAAAACACTATGCCTGAGAAGTTTCAGATCTATTGTCCAAATGTGCGAGTGATAATTGACTGTACTGAAATCCGGTGTGAGAGTGCTTCCTCCTTAACACTACAGTCTGAAACCTTTTCAAGTTACAAAAACTACACAACGTTTAAAGGTGTAATTGGGGTTAATCCTTGTGGCAATGTAACATTTGTGTCAAAATTATACACGGGCTCAATTTCAGATGTAGAGATAACCAAACGATCAAAGCTTTTGCTATTACTTGAACCTGATGATGCGTGATGGCGGATAAAGGATTCTTGATTGAGAAGATGTTGTCTGAAGTTGGAGTATCTCTAATCATTCCTCCACTGAAGAGGTCCCGTCAGCTGAGCCTGGAGGACACTCTGAAGACACAGGCCATTGCCCGGCTGAGAATTGTGGTTGAAAGGGCAATACGGCGGGTCAAAGAATATCATATATGGGATGGAGCAATTCCGCTTTCAATGACAGGTTCTGTCAACCAGTTGTGGGCTGTATGCTGTCTTATGTCCAACTATCAGGGACCTCTAGATGTTTCACAAGACAAACCCGTTTGAAATGTGTCAATATTGTTTAAATATGTAAAATGGTAAAGAATATTTCTGACCATTTAATTTTTTGTTTGCGTTCATGTTCTAGAATTTGATGTCTGGTGGAGAGCAGAGACTAAAACAACTCTTAAGGGAGAAATGCATTTTTTGTAAATAAAATCTCCAAAAAGAAAATTGACAAATGTTGTACTTCATTAGTAGTTAGAAAAGATTTGATTCACAAATCTGCCACATACATTTTATGGCTGCAAGCCTTTTCTACTGGACATCACTTTTTGAATATTGTCTCCACTTCTGGATGCCAAATAATTAGACATTAGTTAATATGTGCTGACGGACAACACAATGAACTTAGACAGTTTTGGTTTCATGTGGATTCTCCCTGTAATAACGATGTCAACCAAAAAAAAAACTGCAATTTGCCAGTTACCATAGTTACCATCATGGAATTTTCAGTTACTCCACCTCAGTTTTAAACTATTGGCTCTTTAGAATGTTGTGATGTCACGTGAACACAGCCTATTGAGAGAATATGGAATAATGAAATTATTGAAGTTATCATTCTTGTGCATTTATGAGGTACTACACAAAAGTCTTTAGAGCTAGAATTTGTTATACTTTAACAGCATTTTTTGGAGTATATAATGGTAAAAGACCACCCTTGAATATATTCAAAACACATTTTATTTAACAATATAAGGGTAGACTTGAATTGACAACCCTGTAACACAGGTACCTCTAATTCGATAAACATACAAAAACAAATAGCAATGAAACTCATGTTTTTAAAAGTTGACTACAAAGTGAACGTGACCTAAGTGCAATAGTAAAGGTTATCTTTGAAACGGAGTAGCTCACAGGATAAAATTATTGGAGACTCAATGTTTGGACTGGATGAACTCATCCATATATGTGTTATAATAGTAATTATCCAGCTGAGGCCTCATGGTCAGGATGACCTCGTCATCTCTGTGTAGCCTTTCCACAGTAATGTCCCCTCTAGTGTCAGTAATAAAGTCACACCACTGAAGCCCTGTAATGGCAAGCTGACCCTGGACTTGATAATAATATTTATGTGACTTCTTCAGGCAGACTTTGCCATTAATTGTTTTGAGATGTTTGACTCCTTCCACATTGTCCACATCACAAGCCTTTACCTCTGCAAGGCCAAACGGTGGACATCCTTTTGGGTCAAAAACTTTTGCATCAGGAGTGGTGGCTAAATGGGGTGCATCCGGATGAATTATAACACCACACTGCATGACGGAAACATCACACAAGTCTGAATATTGATTTAGAATTTCAGGCTCCAGTTCAAGTCCTCTTTTCATTGCTGCAGTTTGAGGCGTTCCTTTGATTATTCGTGCTGCAAGGTTTTTTGATGACGACTCCCCGCGTACATAACCAGTGTTGCCAACTCCTCAGTAAGGAAAGTAGCTATTGGCTGTCCCAAAAGTCGCTAGAAGTCGCTAAATGACGTCATCGCCTAATTTGCATAATTTGCCATTTGCAAATAACTGTAACGGACGCTGTAGGAGAGAGGAATAAGGTCGTGGGAGAGACAAAAGTGAGTAAAAACACCCTAAATATGTTTAGAACTACAAATGTACAAAAATAATTTCAACATTAACAACATTTAATGATTTTAATGCTTTGTCTAGATCCACATTACACACATCAGTTTTGTCCTGTATTGTTAAATGTTATAACAGCAAATGTAATCAAAAGATTGTTATGTAGGGTGAAATTGCTAGCTCTACAACCAACCCTCCTCCTTTATCCGGGCTTGGGACCGGCAAAGTGACCCAAAAGACACACTCTGGCAGAGTTACTTAGGTTTATTTTTGTAAGTTTTTTTTTTTTTTCATAGTTTGGCATAACAAATGATTTAATGTGACCCACTACTGAGAGAAAACAGAGTCACGGACAGAGCTGCCGCGGATGGAGTGGGGGGTAGTGGGGGGTGGCGGTGGTAGGAGTGGCCGGGGAGCTTTGGATGTGTGGTGGTGGTGGAGCTGAAGTTCAGTCTGCAGCAGCCTGAAAACTTCCTGTGCTTTTGAGTCTCCTCTCTCTCTCTCTGCTCCGCCCATAGACTGTAGCTGGGACTGCTGCGCAAGGCTACTGTGAGACTGGCCGCCTGTAAGTGCTTTGGGACGGGGGAGGGGCTCACGTTGAGGACAGCAGAACAATACGTGCTTCACGAGTCTCCAAAACACCAGATAAGTCGCCAAAACACCAGATAAGTCGCCAATAACACCAGAAAAAGTCGCTAGATTTGTCGCTAGTCGCTTTTTTGAAAAAAAGTCGCTATAGGGGTCTGAAAAGTCGCTAAGTTGGCAACACTGTACATAACATACTTCTCTGAAACGGCTGGCTGTCAGTCTGGGTCTCCTCACCTGGCCCCAAAGAGGGCACTGTGATTGCTGTCTTGTCTCTTCTTCAATAGCTGCAGATAGGCGAGTGGACACCTTCAAACTTTCCAGGTGACATTTTTGTACATAGTTGGGCTGAAATGTGAAGGGATTTTTGAAACCGTAGCCTTCAACAGGCAGAGTAGGAAAACCCTGTGCTTTTGAATGTTTTATAATGTCTCTGCTTTCAGAATCAGGTGGAAATTGATATGATAAAACGGATCCAAACGGAACTGGGCCAAACTTTGAGTCCACCATTTTGAGACTGTCCAGGCCATGAAGCAATTTGCAAATTCCGGGCTGGGGACGCACATTCTCAAGCTTCTTCATGCTGGACATTATATGGGGATCTGGAAGTGGACCTGAGAAAAGCACAAACACAATATACAGCAGATGTTAGTAGGTCAATATCTATAGAAATGTATCGAGGCGTGCAGCTGTAGGTTGACATGAGCCTGCATAACGTAGGGGGAAAGCAGCATGGTACAGGGGAATAACACTGTGTGTACACAAAGTATTGCTAAAAAAGTTGAAATGAACAAATCAGAACATTTTCAGATGAATAACTTACCGGAATAGGCCTTGTAAACAATCGATTTCACAAATGTAGTTGTTGTTTTTGTGGATTTTTTTACCACCATGTCGGTTGTAGACTCTCGTGCAATTCCCTAAAATGGAAAGATTTACATTACATTTACAGTAGAGCCAGAGAAACAAACTATACACGAAAACTTTACCTGGGTCCTTGGCCGATGCCATCTTTGCAGTGTACTGGTGCAGGATAAAGGGACTGGCACACTTTTAAAGCCCATGGCCCTATAGTCAATAATGGGCAAAATGAAGAACGCTTCAGTGTTTCAAAAATGAACCTTTATGTTACATGATTTGAACCATGAGATTATGTGACCAATGCCTTGATGAATGGAAACAATCAATTCATGGATTTATACGAGCCTAGAGCTTTGAAAGGACAATATTTCAACTAAGGCCTTGGAATAAAACGAAAATTAATTACTTTGTTGATTGTAATACATTCAAATCATCAGCAGATGGCAGAATAGAATGAGGCTTCAGTTTAGAATAATTTGCTGATATAATAGGCTGTGAAGCCCCATGCATTCACAAGGCTTAATTTTTCCAATCATTACCTGTAGTGTGCCGTTTGGTACAGCACTGCAACCAGGTGGTTGCCAGGTGGTTGCAGAGGGCCCTTCCTGCAGCACAAGAGCAAGACATTTCTTGCACAGTAAACGGCACATCACTTAAATTGAAGGTTATCTGTAAAAAAAATGTATAATAATAATTATATTTGTACAGAAAATCTTAATTTTATGGAGCTTAAAACAGGCATATATTATGCAGAGTCATTCACAATGCAGGCATGCAGCTAACACATTCTATTGCTACACAGCAACTTCAACAAAGATGAATGAGACTTGGATCTCTATCCATAACGTTACACAATTGCTGAAATAGAACCTGAAGATGATGCGCTTCCTCATTTTTCTTCATGGACCTATGACATCTTCCCCTGACAGTCACCTCACTCTGCACTATATTTGAAACTGATGGGAAAAATGTTAGATAATACACTACTCACTTTCAACTGGAATGAAGAGGGTAATACTAATCCCACTTAAGGCTCTTGCATAATTAGTAAAACATATTTTTTGTGTTAATTAAACTTACAAAACAAATGTAACACCAATATTACTTGTTATAGTTAAAGCAATGAAAACACACTGGTCTGCCAACATATCATTTTAAACTTGCCTTCGTAGTTGAAAATGTATCCTTCGATGAAGAATTTATAACCTTTGTCCATTTTAGATCTTTTAGTAAGTGAATGTGTGTCACAGATCCTGTGTATGTCCTCAAATGTTAATTGAGGCAAGTTGAGAAGGGACTCTGTAAAAACATTGTGTGATGACTGGGCCATCCTAGAAAGAAAAAAAAAAATGAAATTAGCACATTAAACTTAAGCCTAAATAAAGTACTGAACAGTAAAACATACAATGTATACTTAACAAGAAAATGTATAGCTCTGTTATTGGGAGGATCATTGTTTATTTTTGTGATGTTTTGGTGAAAGGTGGGCAAACAGCAGATTTTTCCAGCAGTGAAGAGCTGTTTATTTAAATCACAGATCTTTTACAGCACAAGGGGAGCAATGCTCTGTTTGTGAACATTGTTTTGACCCACCATAGAACTAATATTATCAATTTAATACATTTGTGTTGCCCACCAAAGCCTCGGATAGTCAAGCGTTTCTCACGGTTCAGTAGCATGTTGCTAATGTGCATTAGCATTTGGAGCTAAGATAGCCTATTCTTTGGAAGCTAACAGATTGCAGCACTAACTACAGATCTATAACTAGGAAACCAAACAATAGTTACACAGATCAATTAATAACGTAAGCAAACACATTAGAATCAATCTTCCCAAATCAGCAGTCGTTAGCATTACAACTGGCTACAAGCTTTTGGACAAACTCACTTCTCTATCATCACACCGTTATTCTTCTGTGCTTTTTTTTATTTTTTTACTCCCCACGCAATGTCTTACTTGTTGTCAATGATTACATACCTTCCACTTGACGTCTGCGGTAAATTTCCTGGAGATATTTTACTTCAGACTGAAAAGCGCAATCCCATGCCATTAGGTATAACGCGGACAGGAAGTCGTTATCCACTGCACGGAAGTACAATGGCGGATTCGTGACGTTGCGTGAAAAGGGCCTATTTACATGCAATGAAACAGAGGGGCCTTTTGTACAAAGACAGTCTTATGAAATCACAATACCCCATTTTAACTAGCTAGCCAACAACATAGCCTGACACAGCTAACTAACATTTTTAACAAATCAGGAATTACTTTGCACCATGTTTGTACAAATAATAACTTGTGTAAAACACAAAAGTCAACTCTCAAAGGTTTAAATAAATTTTGTCACACTTTGAACTGGACACCACTGTTATGTTTTTCAGTTAGTGGGAAGCCTGGCATTGCACGCTGTTAACTAGTGTGTTGTACTCTCAGATTCAGATTCATTTTATTTGCCATTTGCAATGAAAACACCACATTGGAATATATTAGCAAAAGTCTCCAGTGTGCACAGAAAAATACAGACATAAAACATTAAAAGTACAGAAAAAAACAAATAAAACAGACAAATGTCTCTGGTGTGTAACTTGACACTGCAACTCTGAGTGAGTCTTGCAGATATGCATCAGTTTGGCGTGTTCTGTGTTTGTGCTTGAGGAAGTTCATATCAGAAAAGGCTGATTCACAAAGATAAGGCTCGCAGCCTTCATAGCTGCTGCACGTACACCACTGTTCTTTTCTCTGTCAAACAGGCACCAAAAGTTTGGTGCAGCCTGGTGGGCTTTGAGGGGGAGGTCATTTTGCAGTGTTACAATTTCAATGTCCACCTGTTCAGCATCCAGGCTGAATGTTGCACTTCACTGCTCAGCAATGCAGGATATGTCTTCCACGTCCATGAAAGGATTAGAAATGAACAGCACACATGGCTCAAGCTGATCCAGGTCACAAAACCTGTTCTCAAACTCTTGTCCAACTCTGTTTACGACCTGAGAGTACTTTTCTGCAACTGTGTCAAAAGCCTCAGATGCAGAAGCATTGTCTTTCAGCACCATCTGCACAGAGGGAAAGTGCAGCACTTTTTTTCTCTGTAAATGCACCGAGAAAAGGGTCATCTTAGCTTTTAAATGCATTTAAAGCACTTATCATATCGGCGACAGTTTTACCTTTGCCTTGCAGCGCACAGTTCAAACTGTTCAGTTTTCCAGTAATGTCCGTTAAAAATGCAAGGTCAAGTATCCACTCAGTGTCCTCCAGCAGCACAGTGTCCTCACCTCTGGACTGCATGAACTCTTTGATTTCAGCCAAAAGTGACCAAAAACGTTGCAAACTTGGTCCCCTGCTGAGCCATCGGATTTCTGTGTGTAGTAGCAGGTCACCGTATTCAGCTGACAGCTCCTCCAAAACTACCTTCAATGTTCTGTGCTGTTTAGCTCTGGAGCGAATGCTGTTAATGATCTTTACGACAGGACTCATTACGTGCTCAAAGCCGATCACTTTTGCACATAAGGCCTGCTGGTGTATGATGCAGTGGGACTGCAGAAAGTTTGGGAACTCTGGGTCAGCTTTACAGTGAGCAACCAATCCTGTGTGTCAGCCGATCATAGCAGGAGCCCCATCCGTGGTCACTGATACCAGCTTTTCCAGCGGCACCTTTTTTCCACCAAAAACTCCTTCACTGTGTTATAAATGTCAACTCCCCCCGTAGTTGTCTTCAGGGGCAGTAGTGTCAGAAGTTCTTCATCAAACACCATCCGGATAAAGACCATCAGCTGCGCCGTACTGCTGCTGTCCACCGACTCATCACACTGGATACTGAACCACTGGCACCTCGCCAGATCACGGTCCAGACATCGCCGACACTCTTCTTACCATTGTAGTGGCCCCGAGTTGAACATGGCAGAGACTGGTAAGTACATCGGTTCCATACTTCTCGTCTTCAAGCACAATTTTAGCAATTATCATCATTGCTTCTTTGACTACCTCCCCGTCGGTAAATGCCTTCTTTTTCTTCATCAAGAATTGCGTATCTCAACGAGGCTTCGGTTGCTTTTTGGGAGTTTTTAACCGGCTGTTTGCACAGAGCTGCCTTTAACTGGCGTGCTTTTTCTGCTCGTAGTGCGCTGCCCGGTGGTAGTTAGCATTGTAGCTTGAGTGACACAGTGAAATGTCTCTCCACATTGTGCCGCTTTGCTATTGCCACAGTTGCCCCGCAAATGAAACACACGCAGGATCCTTTCACAGTGGTAAAAAAACTCTACCTCCCATTCGTCGTGAAAATTATGTTTTCTTTCTTTTTTCTGACATGTTTTAGCTTTGTCTTTAGATTGTTAGAGGGCAACAAACGCTGCGTCATGCGCACAATACTGACCTTTGAACTTTACAAGGTCAGAGTTAATCACATTTAAATATTTGACCTGAAAACAGTGAGAAGTTATTTTTTCTTTCCTTTCTTTCTTTCTTTCACATGGATTTTTGGTATATCATTGAATAATGACTGAATACATAAACTTAAGCAACACATGTTCATTGTGGAGGATCAGGGATAACTTCTTTCCCATCAAAGAACGTTTCTGTCATCACCTCCACACTCTGACGACAACAGACGCTTTTTATGCCCGTACGCTGTTTGCTAAATTAATTCATCTTAACCCTTTAGGCGCCAGAGTTTTTTCAAGAAAATATACAATTTTGATTTCAAGATTTCAAAAGGCTATAACTTTAAAATGGATTGAGATAAAGGCATACTGTAAATTAGAACTATCTTCAGTTTGAACCAAACTTTGGGATGGAAGTTGATTCGTCATCTAATTTGCATATTGTGACGTCATCAATGTGGCGGCCATTTTGGAAAATGTTAATTATTGTATAAAGACTTCAAAAAGCTGTAGCTTGGGAGTTATTTGAGATCAGGGAATACTATAAACAGTCAGTGTGAAATATCTTTAGTATGAAATGAATTTGGGATAGAAATAAATTCCCTGATCCAGATTATAGATAATGGGCCTCATTCACGAACCGTACTTAAGAACAAATCTATGCGTAAATCCTACTTACGAAGATTTTACGAAGATTGTGGCATTCATGAAATTTTCTCGTAACCAGAATTTCTCTTGGGTAAGTACAAATCCTACGAGTCCTCAGGAGCACTCGTACGCACATTCAGTGCTGACATGTTTGCACGCTGGTGTTAAGAAGTTCAATAAAACACAACATTATCCGCCATATTTATGTATGTATTTATTTATTTAATTGTTAATGATAATTTAGCCTATTTTTTAATTCATTGTGAAATTAAATGTGCCAACGCTTTATCAAATACATTGGAAATCTTGCCGTGTATTAGTGACCCCTTCCTATTTATAGGGGGCATTTCTCCATCCACGGGCCACAGAACAATGGCATATATACTGCTGCTGCAGGAGGCTGCGGGGTCCGCGCTGAGTCTCTGCACTGGTCTTTCCCATGGATCTATACGGGTCTGCACTGGTCTCTCCCATGGATCCATACGGGTCAGTCCATGCTGCATGCTCCTGGATCCATACGGGTCCTCGCTGGTCTCTCCCATCGATCTATTACAGGACCGCGCTGGCTGTTGCTGTTTCCTCTGGCGTCTGCACACGGCCCTGCAGTCCCTTATATGGGCATTAATGGGCGGTTACCTATGCTAAGTACCTATGCTAATGAAGCACCGGGCACGCGCGCTCTACTTAAGAGGAGATGGCATTCATCAATCTAAGAGAACAGCTGCGAACAATTCAGAGGCTTACGAGCGCGTTGATGAATGCCACGTAGGGTCTTCTTAGAAATCTACTTAACAAAACCATTGAAATCACCAACACAGGTCAGAGAATCAACAGTTAACACATGGAGAATATAAAGCACACTCAGATGAAAATGTCCATACATGTTGTAGAATGCTAAAGTGTCCTGATCATCACCAATCCTTTCTGTTGGACACTAACTGTCCAACAAGACCCTCCTGCATCGACAAGGAAAAACTCTTAAAAAACCCAGTGGGAAAAAGTGAGAAACCTTGGGGAGAACTAGGGAAACCCACAGGGAGGGAGACCCATTTGAGAAAGGGATCCGCTCCTCCGGACGGACAGGCTAATGATCCAGGACCTAAGCTAGCTACAGAACGTGGACCAGTGGCCGCTGAACGTGGACAGGTCCGGTGCAGGACCGAAGCACTCCCAGGCGGTTCGGGCGGGGCAGTCCGCAAGTGTAGATGGAGGAGGCCAGGCTCAGAGATCCCGTCATCGTACCATGAAACAGACAATGGGACAGCGGGTGAATAGCAATGAACAAACTACAGTCAAAATCCTAATAATGCTAGCGTTACCACGGTTACCACAGAGACTAAACACATGGTTTTATACAGAGACTACACCAAAAGTGGTTCTTGGTCCAAAAGTGGTTCTTGGTCCAAAAGTGGTTCTGGGTCCTCTTGGTTCCAGATGCTGTGTGAGGGGAGTGTATGTTTTTGAACCAGTCTAGTTTAGCCGCTGTGGACTTAAGGATGCACTTATTAAATGACTTCAGAGTAACTTTAGAGTGACTTAACTTCAGAGTAACTTCAGAGTAATTTCAGGGTAACTTCAGAGTAACTTCAGGGTAACTTCAGGGTAACTTCAGAGTGACTTCAGAGTAACTTCAGAGTGACTTCAGAGTAACTTCAGAGTGACTTCAGAGTAACTTCAGAGTAAGAGTAACTTCAGATTAACTTCAGAGTGACTTCAGAGTAACTTCAGAGTGATTTCAGAGTAATTTCAAAGTAAATTCAGATTAACTTCAGAATGACTTCAGAGTAACTTCAGGGTAAGAGTAACGTCAGAGTAACTTCAGAGTAACTTCAGATTAACTTCAGAGTGACTTCAGAGTAACTTCGGAGTGACTTCAGAGTAACTTAACTTCAGAGTAACTTCAGAGTATCTTCAGAGTAACTTCAGAGTGACTTCAGAGTGACTTCAGAGTAACTTCAGAGTGACTTCAGAGTAACTTCAGAGTAACTTCAGGGTAAGAGTGACTTCAGAGTAACTTCAGAGTAACTTCAGAGTGACTTCAGAGTAACTTCAGGGTAAGAGTAACTTCAGAGTAACTTCAGAGTAACTTCAAATTAATTTCAGATTAACTTCAGAGTGACTTCAGAGTAACTTTGGAGTGACTTCAGAGTAACTTAACTTCAGAGTAACTTCAGAGTATCTTCAGAGTAACTTCAGAGTGACTTCAGAGTGATTTCAGAGTAATTTCAAAGTAACTTCAGATTAACTTCAGAATGACTTCAGAGTAACTTCAGGGTAAGAGTAACGTCAGAGTAACTTCAGAGTAACTTCAGATTAACTTCAGAGTGACTTCAGAGTAACTTCGGAGTGACTTCAGAGTAACTTAACTTCAGAGTAACTTCAGAGTATCTTCAGAGTAACTTCAGAGTGACTTCAGAGTGACTTCAGAGTAACTTCAGAGTGACTTCAGAGTAACTTCAGAGTAACTTGAGGGTAAGAGTGACTTCAGAGTAACTTCAGAGTAACTTCAGAGTGACTTCAGAGTAACTTCAGAGTAACTTCAGGGTAAGAGTAACTTCAGAGTAACTTCAGAGTAACTTCAGAGTAACTTCAGATTAATTTCAGATTAACTTCAGAGTGACTTCAGAGTAACTTCGGAGTGACTTCAGAGTAACTTAACTTCAGAGTAACTTCAGAGTATCTTCAGAGTAACTTCAGAGTGACTTCAGAGTGACTTCAGAGTAACTTCAGAGTAACTTCAGAGTAACTTCAGAGTGACTTCAGAGTAACTTCAGGGTAAGAGTAACTTCAGAGTAACTTCAGAGTAACTTCAAATTAATGTCAGATTAACTTCAGAGTGACTTCAGAGTAACTTTGGAGTGACTTCAGAGTAACTTAACTTCAGAGTAACTTCAGAGTATCTTCAGAGTAACTTCAGAGTGACTTCAGAGTGATTTCAGAGTAATTTCAAAGTAACTTCAGATTAACTTCAGAATGACTTCAGAGTAACTTCAGGGTAAGAGTAACGTCAGAGTAACTTCAGAGTAACTTCAGATTAACTTCAGAGTGACTTCAGAGTAACTTCGGAGTGACTTCAGAGTAACTTAACTTCAGAGTAACTTCAGAGTATCTTCAGAGTAACTTCAGAGTGACTTCAGAGTGACTTCAGAGTAACTTCAGAGTGACTTCAGAGTAACTTCAGAGTAACTTCAGGGTAAGAGTGACTTCAGAGTAACTTCAGAGTAACTTCAGAGTGACTTCAGAGTAACTTCAGAGTAACTTCAGGGTAAGAGTAACTTCAGAGTAACTTCAGAGTAACTTCAGAGTAACTTCAGATTAATTTCAGATTAACTTCAGAGTGACTTCAGAGTAACTTCGGAGTGACTTCAGAGTAACTTAACTTCAGAGTAACTTCAGAGTATCTTCAGAGTAACTTCAGAGTGACTTCAGAGTGACTTCAGAGTAACTTCAGAGTAACTTCAGAGTAACTTCAGATTAACTTCAGATTAACTTCAGATTAACTTCAGCGTAACTTCAGAGTGACTTCAGAGTAACTTAACTTCAGAGTGACTTCAGAGTATCTTATATGAAATAGCAGCATAAATGGTATTATGCGACAATGGCATGTTATCCATTACGAAGAAAACAACCGTAACATGTAAATTAATCCCATGGAAATAAAGGATTTCCCAATTTTCTTAGAGAAGAACCGCCCTCTCCCCTTTTTGAACAAATCTCTCTGGTCTTATTTGACGAGCACGAATCATCAGAATGATTGACAATTGGGAGGAGCAATAATCTTGATGATCCACTCAAAAGTATAAAATCTTCCGATATACCTTCAATATTTGGTCCAGTTTTGGTTCAGTCCACAGAAACTGAACTAATTCTAATCAGAATAGAATATCCAATCTAATTAATGTGAAACAAGGCATTTATTTAGATACCTTCATATTCCAAAAAAAATTTATGAATTAAACCCACTTATTTTTTCGGCCCCTGACCAGCTTTTTCTTTTTTTATTCGGCCCTCAACCAAAATAAGTTTGACACCCCTGCTTTAGAGTGACTTCAGAGTAACTTCAGAGTGACTTCAGGTTAACTTCAGAGTAACTTCAGAGTAGCTTCAGAGTGACTTCAGAGTGACTTCAGAGTAACTTCAGAGTAACTTCAGGGTAACTTCAGAGTAACTTCAGAGTAACTTCAGGGTAACAGAGTAATTTCAGAGTAATTTCAGAGTAACTTCAGGGTAACTTCAGAGTAACATCAGAGTAACTTCAGGGTAACAGAGTAACTTCAGAGTAACTTCAGAGTGACTTCAGAGTGACTTCAGAGTAACTTCAGAGTAACTTCAGAGTGACTTCAGTGACTTCAGGGTAACTTCATAGTGTCTTCAGAGTGACTTCAGAGTAACTTCAGAGCAACTTCAGAGTAACTTTAGAGTGACTTGAGAGTAACTTCACAGTAACTTCAGGGTAACTTCAGTGTGACTTCAGAGTAACTTCAGAGTAACTTCAGATTAACTTCAGAGTAACTTCAGAGTAACTTCAGAGTGACTTCAGAGTGACTTCAGAGTAACTTCAGAGTAACTTCAGAGTAACTTCAGAGTAACTTCAGAGTGACTTCAGAGTAACTTCAGAGTAACTTCAGAGTAACATAACTTCAGAGTAACTTAACTTCAGAGTAACTTCAGAGTGACTTCAGAGTAACTTCAGAGTAACTTCAGAGTGACTTCAGAGTAACTTCAGAGTAACTTCAGGGTAACAGAGTAACTTCAGAGTGACTTCAGAGTGACTTCAGAGTAACTTCAGAGTAACTTCAGAGTAACTTCAGAGTCAGAACAGAGTAACTTCAGAGTAATATTGTCTCAAACTGAATGTCGTGACAAAATGCTGAAGAAGGTCCGGATGTCGTGACAGTTTCTCAGATGGAGTGAGATGAAATTTGTTACAGCGGAAAAAACATGAACTCACATCTGTGACCAGAGAAACCACGATCAGCAGATAACCACACGCTAAAGATACAGCTTCAGACCAGTCCTGCTTCAGACCAGTCCTGCTTTAGACCAGTCCTGCTTCAGACCTTGTTCAGACCAGTTCTCTGTTCAGACCTGGTTCAGACCAGTCCTGCTTCAGACCTGGTTCAGACCAGTCCTGCTTCAGACCTGGTTCCGACCATGGCCCTCAGAGTCCTTCTTCTGAGTCTCTGCTGTCACGGTGAGTCCTGTTTTACACTGAAACTTTGATAAATGTTAAAGCTCAGGTCTGTAACTTCTTAAAGCTCAGGTCTGTAACTTCTTAAAGCTCAGGTCTGTAACTTCTTAAAGCTCAGGTCTGTGACTTCTTAAAGCTCAGGTCTGTAACTTCTTAAAGCTCAGGTCTGTAACTTCTTGATACTGATTCTAACTGTGAATGTTTTAACCACAGTCCTACGTCAGACTAGAGCCCTGCACGGGCTCTAGTTTTTTACCTCCCATAACAATGTTGTAGCGTAGTTTATTATATGACTTGGACCGTGCGCTCTGATTGGCTGATTTGCGGTCTGATATCTTCCCGTCTCGGACCGTTACCATGACAATGGGTCCGCAGCGAGTATCAGATTTGATATCTTTCCTCGGTAAAACAGAAATAATGAGCGACTGGGAACATTCTCAGTGATTTCTATCATCAGGATGAGTTGGAAGAGCCAAAGGAAGTAATAACAGCAAATAACGACCAAAACACAACTCCAACAGTCAAGAAGAGATCGACAACTTGGTTACAGACCAGAAAGGTAAAACCAGGACCAGGAAAACCAAGTGGGACATGAACATCACAAATATGTAAAAAGCATTGGTAAAGACACAGACTGAAAACTTACAGCGGGCGCCTCAATCCTCTAAGTTCTCCATGTCACGGTTTGACACTTTGGTCAAATGTGTTTTTAGTTCAAACCCGTCCATATTTGGATCACTTACAAATAGATACATAATAAAACACCCCCACCTTCACCTTCACCCTCACCTTCACCTTCACCCTCACCTTCACCCACACCTTCACCTTCACCCTCACCTTCACCTTCACCCTCACCTTCACCCACACCTTCACCTTCACCCTCACCTTCACCCACACCTTCACCTTCACCCTCACCTTCACCCACACCTTCACCTTCACCCTCACCTTCACCCACACCTTCACCTTCACCCTCACCTTCACCCACACCTTCACCCTCACCTTCACCCACACCTTCACCTTCACCCTCACCTTCACCCACACCTTCACCTTCACCCTCACCTTCACCCACACCTTCACCTTCACCCTCACCTTCACCCCCACCCTCACCTTCACCCCCACCTTCACCCCCACCTTCACCCTCACCTTCACCCTCACCTTCACCCTCACCTTCACCCTCACCTTCACCCTCACCCCCACCTTCACCCTCACCTCCATCCTCACCTCCACCCTCACCCTCACCTCCACCCTCACCCTCACCCCCACATTCACCCTGACCACCATCCTCACCTCCACCCTCACCCCCACCTTCACCCCCACCCTCACCTTCACCCCCACCTTCACCCCCACCTTCACCCTCACCTTCACCCTCACCTTCACCCTCACCCCCACCTTCACCCTCACCTCCATCCTCACCTCCACCCTCACCCTCACCTCCACCCTCACCCTCACCCCCACATTCACCCTGACCACCATCCTCACCTCCACCCTCACCCCCACCTTCACCCCCCCCCACCTTCATCCTTACCTCCACCCTCACCTTCACCCTCACCTTCACCCCCACCTCCATCCTCACCTCCACCCTCACCTTCACCCTCACCTCCATCCTCACCTCCACCCTCACCCTCACCTCCATCCTCACCCCCACCTTCATCCTCACCTCTACCTTCCCCCATAATGTAACAGACCAGAGTTGAAAGTATAAAATGCAAAGGAACAAAAAGGCGATTTTTAGATCATTTAATATTTATTTTATTGCATTGACATAAACACATCCATCTTTGCAGATCACAGGTACAGGCAGATCACAGGTACAGGGCAGGAGGAACAGCTGGAGATCTTTACAGATCACAGGTACAGTCAGATCACAGGTACAGTCAGATCACAGGTACAGGGCAGATCACAGGTACAGGGCAGATCACAGGTACAGGCAGATCACAGGTACAGGGCAGGAGAAACAGCTGGAGATCTTTACAGATCACAGGTACAGTCAGATCACAGGTACAGGGCAGGAGAAACAGCTGGAGATCTTTACAGATCGCAGGTACAGTCAGATCACAGGTACAGTCAGATCACAGGTACAGGGCAGGAGAAACAGCTGGAAATCTTTACAGATCGCAGGTACAGTCAGATCACAGGTACAGTCAGATCGCAGGTACAGTCAGATCACAGGTACAGTCAGATCACAGGTACAGTCAGATCACAGGTACAGTCAGATCACAGGTACAGTCAGATCACAGGTACAGGGCAGGAGAAACAGCTGGAGATCTTTACAGATCGCAGGTACAGTCAGATCACAGGTACAGGGCAGGAGAAACAGCTGGAGATCTTTACAGATCGCAGGTACAGTCAGATCACAGGTACAGTCAGATCGCAGGTACAGTCAGATCACAGGTACAGTCAGATCACAGGTACAGTCAGATCACAGGTACAGTCAGATCACAGGTACAGTCAGATCACAGGTACAGGGCAGGAGAAACAGCTGGAGATCTTTACAGATCGCAGGTACAGTCAGATCACAGGTACAGTCAGATCACAGGTACAGTGCAGGGAGGAGTGTGCAGTCTGAAACCTTTACCTGCAGCCCAACTACAGGAAGAAGCCCTTTTCAACACCCACTGAGATCTAAAACAGAGAAGTGTTTTAGAACAGACATAGTTATTGCTTGTTATAACTTAAATATCTCACAAAGTCAGCAGAAGAGAAATAGTAACCACCAAACAGAAAGATGCTAGTATAAGCTCTGTTTTACTGGAGTTGTCCATGTGAACGTGTCAGCGACACAACATTTAGCAAGTTTGCTTTCACAGACAAACACATCATGTTCTAATATAATGTGAAAGTCTATAACATGTCTCTATGACATATTTCAAATCATTTAGCACATCATTTAGGCCTTTTTTACAACTGTTTGGGCTTCGTGCGTCGTAGCTAACGCTAACTTAGCTGTTAGCTGCTAAGTTACGTCTTACCTTGGTACTTGTGTAAATATTCTTCATCGCAGGACCCCTTCTCTCGTTTATCTGTCCACGAATTCACCTCTGACTAATGTTGGCAAAAATATTAGAGCCGTTTCTCCATAGTACCGGCGCAAACAGGAAGTGCTACCTGGTTCTCGTGAAAAAGGTTTATGATTAGATTGATATGAAACAAGAAACACCTTTTGACACGTTTGACTTCTCTGTGTGTAGGAGTCCTGGGAGACAGCAACACAACAGGTAACACACACTCAAAGACACACAGACACACACACACTCAAAGACACCCACACACACACAAAGACAGACACACACACTTGAGAATGAGTTCTGACTGACAAAGGGCAAAGCCTCACCATGTGGATGTCACTGGGTTCTGCTGGTCCCTGAGCTCGGTGTTGTTGTGGTCCTGTGTAATAACCCATGTCCCTGTGAGCAGGGCCTCTCGGTCTGAGGCTGGAGGGAGGAGCCGGCCGCTGTCAGGGGGAGGTGCAGCTGCAGAGACCAGGTCTGGACTGGACTACAGTGGATCCATTTTATGTTATTCTGGAGTTTGGATCCAGAATCTGCTCTGCTCTGGACTGTGGCTCCGCTCTGTCTGTGAGGGAAAGACCAAACTCTAAACAAACATCTGTGAAAGTCAAATATGAGTGTAAGGAGACTGAACTGATGGACTGCTTTGAGGATCCATCATCTCCATCACAGAGTCTGGAACTCAAGTGCTCAGGTGAGAAACCTCAGCCTCATTAGGACTCAGCCTGGTCCTTCACCAGTATCTGGGTTTTGGATCCAGGTGTTTTGTTGTATACAGATGTTTGTGATGAAGTCCTCTGTGTCTCAGAGTCTGTGCGGCTGGTTGGAGGCTCTGGTCTCTGCTCTGGATCACTGCAGATCTGGAACCAGTCCTGGACCTCGGTCTGTGAAGGGGCCTTGGACCTGAGGGGAGCAGAGGTGCTGTGCAGGGAGCTGGACTGCGGGGCACCTTCTGTCCTCCAGGGGGTGCTCTCTCCTTCTGTCCTCCAGGGGGCGCTCTCTCCTGTGGGGCAGACGTTCCACTGTGAGGGCCATGAGTCTGCTCTGATGGACTGTCCCCGCTCCAGACCCAAGACCTGCTCCTCTGGACCCAGTGTGAACATCACCTGCTCAGGTGAGAGGGCGGGGCTCAGGTGAGGGGGCGGGGCTCAGATGAGCGGGGCTCAGGTGAGGGGGGGGGGCTCAGATGAGAGGGGTGGGGCTCAGGTGAGGGGGCGGGGCATGGAAGTCCTAATAGAGGGATTGTTATGACCAATAACATTTTGATCAAACGTAGTTGACAAACCTAACAAGTTCAGACCCATATTCAGTGTATGTCTGTGTTCAGAGCCGGTGAGGCTGATGAGAGGGGCCCGTCGCTGTGCTGGGACCGTGGAGGTCAGAAAGAGCGGAGAATGGAGACCAGTGCATAAACCAGGCCTCTGGACCCTGGGTTCCACTGAGGCCGTCTGCAGAGACCTGGACTGTGGATCTGTTGTTTCTATGGAAGAGGATCGTTCACAGACTAGTGCCAGGGAGATCTCCGTGCTCTGTGTGGTGAGGAGGAGGAAGTCTGCAGTGAGAGACTGTCTATGGGCCTCAGATATCTCTGATGGCCCGGTTCTGGGGGTGGTGTGTTCAGGTAAGACTCATGTTCTTCATGTTTATTTCATTTCTGTTTTGGGTTGAGAGCTCGGTGCTTGCAGGGCTGTGATTGGCCCAGTCTCACTGCTGCTTCTGTCAAATCAGTAATCATCCATCCAACTTCTTCCCCATAATCCATTTCTGGGTCGGGGGGGGGGGCACCAGCCCCTCACTGATCCTCCTGCTCCCACTGATCCTCCTGCTCCTCAATGATCCTCCTGCTCCTCCTGCTCCTCACTGATCCTCCTGCTCCTCACTGAACCTCCTGCTCCTCACTGATCCTCCTGATCCTCCTGCTCCTCACTGAACCTCCTGCTCCTCACTGAACCTCCTGCTCCTCACTGAACCTCCTGCTCCTCACTGATCCTCCTGATCCTCCTGCTCCTCACTGATCCTCCTGCTCCTCACTGATCCTCCTGCTCCTCCTGCTCCTCACTGATCCCCACTGATCCTCCTGCTCCTCACTTCTCCTCCTGCTCCTCACTTCTCCTCCTGCTCCTCACTGATCCTCACTGATCCTCCTGCTCCTCACTGCTCCTCACTGCTCATCACTGATCCTCCTGCTCTTCACTGCTCCTCCTGCTCCTCACTGCTCCTCCTGATCCTCACTGATCCTCCTGCTCCTCACTGATCCTCCTGCTCCTCCTGCTCCTCAGTGCTCCTCCTGCTCCTCACGCTCCTCACTTCTCCTCCTGCTCCTCACTGATCCTCCTGCTCCTCACTGATCCTCACTTCTCCTCACTGATCCTCCTGCTCCTCACTTCTCCTCACTGATCCTCCTGCTCCTCACTGATCCTCCTGCTCCTCACTGATCCTCCTGCTCCTCACTGATCCTCTGCTCCTCACTGCCCCTCTGCTCCTCACTGATCCTCCTGCTCCTCACTGATCCTCCTGCTCCTCACTGATCCTCCTGATCCTCCTCCTCACTGATCCTCCTGCTCCTCACTGATCCTCCTGCTCCTCCTGATCCTCCTGCTCCTCACTGATCCTCCTGCTCCTCACTGATCCTCCTGCTCCTCTGCTCCTCACTGATCCTCCTGCTCCTCACTGACTGATCCTCCTGTCCTCCTGCTCCTCACTGCTCCTCCTGCTCCTCACTGCTCCTCCTGCTCCTCACTGATCCTCCTGCTCCTCACTGATCCTCCTGCTCCTCCTGATCCTCACTGATCCTCCTGCTCCTCACTGATCCTCCTGCTCCTCACTGCTCCTCCTGCTGTCCTCACTGATCTCCTGCTCCTCACTGCTCCTCACTGATCCTCCTGCTCCTCACTGACCTCTGCTCCTCACTGATCCTCCTGCTCCTCACTGATCCTCACTGCTCCTCACTGATCCTCTCCTGCTCCTCACTGCTCCTCACTGATCCTCCTCCTCCTCCTGCTCCTCACTGATCCTCCTGCTCCTCACTGACTCCTCCTGATTCTCTGCTCTGCTCCTCTCTGATCCTCCTGCTCCTCACTGATCCTCCTGCTCCTCACTGATCCTCCTGCTCCTCACTGATCCTCCTGCTCCTCACTGATCCTCCTGCTCCTCACTCTCCTCACTCTCCTGCTCTCACTGATCCTCCTGCTCCTCACTGATCCTCCTGCTCCTCACTGATCCTCCTGCTCCTCACTGCCCTCACTGCTCCTCCTGTCCTCCTGCTCCTCACTGCTCCTCCTGCTCCTCACTGATCCTCCTGTCTCTGTCCCTGCTCTCACTGATCCTCCTGCTCCTCACTGATCCTCCTGCTCCTCACTGATCCTCCTGCTCCTCACTGATCCTCCTGCTCCTCACTGATCCTCCTGCTCCTCACTGATCCTCCTGCTCCTCTCTGATCCTCCTGCTCCTCAATGATCCTCCTGCTCCTCACTGATCCTCCCTGCTCCTCACTGATCCTCCTGCTCCTCCTGATCCTCCTGCTCCTCACTGATCCTCCTGCTCCTCACTGATCCTCCTGCTCCTCACTGATCCTCCTGCTCCTCACTGATCCTCCTGCTCCTCACTGATCCTCCTGCTCCTCACTGATCCTCCTGCTCCTCACTGCTCCTCCTGCTCCTCACTGATCCTCCTGCTCCTCACTGCTCCTCCTGCTCCTCACTGCTCCTCCTGCTCCTCACTGATCCTCCTGCTCCTCACTGATCCTCCTGCTCCTCACTGATCCTCCTGCTCCTCACTGATCCTCCTGCTCCTCACTGATCCTCCTGCTCCTCAACTGACTGCTCCTCCTGCTCCTCACTGATCCTCCTGCTCCTCACTGATCCTCCTGCTCTCCTCACTGCTCCTCTCCTGCTCCTCACTGCTCCTCCTGCTCCTCACTGATCCTCACTTCCTCCTGCTCCTCCTGCCTCCTGCTCCTCACTGCTCCTCCTGCTCCTCACTGATCCTCCTGCTCCTCCTGCTCCTCACTGATCCTCCTGCTCCTCACTGATCCTCCTGCTCCACTGATCCCTGATCCTCACTGTCCTCCTGCTCCTCACTCTCCTCCTGCTCCTCACTGATCCTCCTGCTCCTCACTGATCCTCCTGCTCCTCCTGCTCCTCACTGCTCCTCCTGCTCCTCTCTGCTCCTCCTGCTCCTCACTGATCCTCCTGCTCCTCACTGATCCTCACTGCTCCTCCTGCTCCTCACTGATCCTCCTGCTCCTCACTGATCCTCCTGTCTCCTCCATGCTCCTCCACTGATCCTCCTGCTCCTCACTGCTCCTCCTGCTCCTCACTGCTCCTCCTGCTCCTCACTGATCCTCCTGCTCCTCAATGATCCTCCTGCTCCTCACTGATCCTCCTGCTCCTCACTGATCCTCCTGCTCCTCACTGCTCCTCCTGCTCCTCCTGATCCTCCTGATCCTCCTGCTCCTCCTGCTCCTCACTGATCCTCCTGCTCCTCACTGATCCTCACTGATCCTCCTGCCCCTCACTGCTCCTCACTGCTCCTCCTGCTCCTCCTGCTCCTCCTTCTCCTCACTGCTCCTCCTGCTCCTCACTGATCCTCCTGCTCCTCACTGATCCTCCTGCTCCTCACTGATCCTCCTGATCCTCACTGACTTGCTCCTCCTGCTCCTCACTGCTCCTCTACTGATCCTCCTGCTCCTCACTGATCCTCTGCTCCTCACTGCTCCTCCTGCTCCTCACTGCTCCTCCTGCTCCTCACTGATCCTCCTGCTCCTCACTGATCCTCTCCTGTCCTCCTCCTCACTGATCCTCCTGCTCCTCACTGATCCTCCTGCTCCTCACTGATCCTCCTGCTCCTCACTGATCCACATGATCCTCCTGCTCCTCACTGATCCTCCTGCTCCTCACTGATCCTCCTGCTCCTCACTGATCCTCCTGATCCTCCTGCTCCTCACTGATCCTCCTGCTCCTCACTGATCCTCCTGCTCCTCACTGATCCTCCTGCTCCTCACTGATCCTCCTGATCCTCCTGCTCCTCCTGCTCCTCACTGATCCTCCTGCTCCTCACTGCTCCTCCTGCTCCTCACTGCTCCTCCTGCTCCTCACTGATCCTCCTGCTCCTCAATGATCCTCCTGCTCCTCACTGATCCTCCTGCTCCTCACTGATCCTCCTGCTCCTCACTGCTCCTCCTGCTCCTCACTGATCCTCCTGATCCTCCTGCTCCTCCTGCTCCTCACTGATCCTCCTGCTCCTCACTGATCCTCACTGATCCTCCTGCCCCTCACTGCTCCTCACTGATCCTCCTGCTCCTCCTGCTCCTCCTTCTCCTCACTGCTCCTCCTGCTCCTCACTGATCCTCCTGCTCCTCACTGATCCTCCTGCTCCTCACTGATCCTCCTGCTCCTCACTGATCCTCCTGATCCTCACTGATCCTCCTGCTCCTCACTGATCCTCCTGCTCCTCCTGCTCCTCACTGATCCTCATGCTCCTCACTGCTCCTCCTGCTCCTCACTGCTCCTCCTGCTCCTCACTGCTCCTCACTGCTCCTCACTGCTCCTCCTGCTCCTCACTGCTCCTCCTGCTCCTCACTGATCATCCTGCTCCTCCTGCTCCTCACTGATCCTCCTGCTCCTCACTGATCCTCCTGCTCCTCACTGATCCTCACTGATCCTCACTGATCCTCCTGCTCCTCACTGATCCTCCTGCTCCTCACTGATCCACATGATCCTCCTGCTCCTCACTGATCCTCCTGCTCCTCACTGATCCTCCTGCTCCTCACTGATCCTCCTGATCCTCCTGCTCCTCACTGATCCTCCTGCTCCTCACTGTTCCTCCTGCTCCTCACTGATCCTCCTGCTCCTCACTGCTCCTCCTGCTCCTCACTGCTCCTCCTGCTCCTCACTGATCCTCCTGCTCCTCACTGATCCTCACTGCTCCTCCTGCTCCTCACTGATCCTCCTGCTCCTCACTGATCCTCCTGATCCTCCTGCTCCTCCTGCTCCTCACTGATCCTCCTGCTCCTCCTGCTCCTCACTGATCCTCCTGATCCTCCTGCTCCTCCTGCTCCTCACTGATCCTCCTGCTCCTCACTGATCCTCACTGATCCTCCTGCCCCTCACTGCTCCTCCTGCTCCTCACTGATCCTCCTGCTCCTCACTGCTCTCTCCTCCTGCTCCTCCTGCTCCTCACTGCTCCTCCTGCTCCTCACTGATCCTCCTGCTCCTCACTGATCATCCTGCTCCTCACTGATCCTCCTGCTCCTCCTGCTCCTCACTGCTCCTGCTGCTCCTCACTGCTCCTCCTTCTCCTCACTGGTCCTCCTGCTCCTCACTGATCCTCACTGCTCCTCCTGCTCCTCACTGATCCTCCTGCTCCTCACTGATCCTCCTGCTCCTCACTGATCCTCCTGATCCTCCTGCTCCTCCTGCTCCTCACTGATCCTCCTGCTCCTCACTGCTCCTCCTGCTCCTTACTGATCCTCCTGCTCCTCAATGATCCTCCTGCTCCTCACTGATCCTCCTGCTCCTCACTGATCCTCCTGCTCCTCACTGCTCCTCCTGCTCCTCACTGATCCTCCTGATCCTCCTGCTCCTCCTGCTCCTCACTGATCCTCCTGCCCCTCACTGCTCCTCCTGCTCCTCACTGATCCTCCTGCTCCTCACTGATCCTCCTGCTCCTCCTGCTCCTCCTGCTCCTCCTGCTCCTCACTGCTCCTCCTGCTCCTCACTGATCATCCTGCTCCTCACTGCTCCTCCTGCTCCTCCTGCTCCTCACGCTCCTCACTGATCCTCCTGACCCTCACTGATCCTCCTGCTCCTCACTGATCCTCCTGCTCCTCCTGCTCCTCACTGATCCTCATGCTCCTCACTGCTCCTCCTGCTCCTCACTGCTCCTCCTGCTCCTCACTGCTCCTCCTGCTCCTCACTGATCATCCTGCTCCTCCTGCTCCTCACTGATCCTCCTGCTCCTCACTGATCCTCCTGCTCCTCACTGATCCTCACTGATCCTCACTGATCCTCCTGCTCCTCACTGATCCTCCTGCTCCTCACTGATCCTCATGATCCTCCTGCTCCTCACTGATCCTCCTGCTCCTCCTGCTCCTCACTGCTCCTCACTGATCCTCCTTCTCCTCACTGATCCTCCTGCTCCTCACTGATCCTCCTGCTCCTCACTGATCCTCCTGCTCCTCTTGCTCCTCTCTGATCCTCCTACTCCTCACTGATCCTCCTGATCCTCCTGCTCCTCACTGCTCCTCCTGCTCCTCACTGATCCTCCTGCTCCTCACTGATCCTCCTGCTCCTCCTGCTCCTCACTGATCCTCCTGCTCCTCACTGTTCCTCCTGCTACTCACTGATCCTCCTGCTCCTCACTGCTCCTCCTGCTCCTCACTGCTCCTCCTGCTCCTC